TAAACTTTTTACCTTACATATTACTCTTTATATTGATTAGAACAATGCAATATTAGATTATTATGACTAATTAAGTAGATATAAAATATTAAAATTATTATTAATATTATAGTAATTGTGTACAGAATTTTAAGTTGTATGATTATGCCATAAAGAATAATTAACTAACTTAAAAAAATAGCATAATGAGTTGAATAAAATAATAATAATAATTTTATAATAAATAGTTAAAAAAAGTAATATGACTTTATGATTATTTAGTAATAGTTGTTGTTGTACCTAAATATAAAAAATCATGGGTCGCCAATAAGATCAAACCAAATGAGTGTTGAGCCTACAAGCCCAGACGAAAGTGGCACAAGGAACAACGACCACAAAATATGTTGGTCTCCTCGATCGTAACGACTTCTGATGTCGATCTCTTCCTCTGGAAAATTGACAATCTCTCTGTTGTTTGAATATGAAACCGTTAAAGCTGATAAAGTCATCACCCGACCGCCCAACTCATTACATCCTCAAAGTCAACTTTTGCATCGATACATGCGGTGCAACCTACGCTCTTAGCTTGCCTATGACATTTATTACACCACTGATTTTTTTTTTTCATGTATAAATACAACCATCTCGACTTTAAAAAAAAATAGAAAAGAAGAGAATACAAAACCATAATAGCACAATTATGATCATCATTGATCATATGTAACTCATCATCGAAAAAATTTATATTACATTTTTTCGGAGAATTCATTATCCTTGTCGATCTCCACACCAGATTGGCGAAATCCGTGTTCTTTTGTTTCCTTACTTCATTTCGGTAATTTATTTTTATTTTCTTCAAATTCTCAACAAACTTCACTAATTGCTTTGTAACCCCCGAATTAGCCACCCCATAATTACGAACCGCGCGTAGCCGTTGGCAGTCGACCGTTAACAATTATTATGTAAGCAAATAAATAAAGAATATAATTAGCTGATTGATGAAAAATAGTGGAACGACTGAAAAGAATTGTCATATATATATTTTGCAAACAATTATATATAGAGAGACATTTTGACATCCAATGTTATGTCCATTAATCATTTCTAATCATTTCTAATTATTACGTTTCGACTGTTGTGACAACATTCGAACATATTTTAATTGCACATTTTTTTTTTTACAACGGCAGTCGGCCGTCCTCAAACGAAGGTGGGGTGGTGATTTGCAGCGACGGCCGGGAAGATGGTGATTAGCTTTTAAAAATGATTGAATTTTTTGGGTTGAATTTGTCTCCATACATTCTCTTAGATACTAAGCGAAAAATGAATATATAAATTTTTCATTGAAAATGACTATTCGTATTTTTACTTTTCAAAATATTTCAAAAAAAAAAAATATGAAAAGTATGATTTGATTAAAATATCTAAAACATCTCAAATGAAAGTTCGTATGCGGACGGCAATTTTATCCAGTTTCAATGGTTTAGTAATGTAAAACGTGGCGAATTGATGATTATGAATATGGTGTGATCTTAAAGTAGCACTATCGTGTGCCCTGGCACACCTAGCTAGGTGTGCTAGGGCAGTTTTGCACGCGCTTCCAATACCTTAAAAACAAGAAAATTTGGAGAGTGTAGTCCACATTCCTATTTTTTCTTTTTTAATTGAAAAATGAGACATATTACACAAATTAAAATATTATTAATTATTATATTAAAAAAATAAAATAAAAATACCAAAATTCATAATTTTTCATTATTTATAAATAGAGACCACGTTTGATAGGTTTTTGAACACAACTAATTTTTAGTTTTTTCGTAATTATTTTATTATACTGACATATAATCAACATGTTACATAATAAAGTGAATATGTTTTCAAATATGATGAACATGTTACAGATTTCAGATTAAAAATTTACATATTCATCTTTTTATAACATATTCACCTTATTGTGTATGTAACATGTTTATCTTATTCTATAACATGTTCATTTTATTATGTAACATGTTCATCTTATTATATAACATGTTCATTTTATTACGTAACATGTTCACTTTATTGTGTATGTAACATGTTCATCTTATTCTATAACATGTTCATTTTATTATGTAACATGTTCACCTTATTGTGTATGTAACGTGTTCATCTTATTCTATAACATGTTCATTTTATTATGTAACATGTTCATCTTATTCTATAACATGTTCATTTTATTATGTAACACGTTCATCTAAATTTCACCTGTGAAAATGTAATATTTTTCATCTCATTCTATGACATGTTCATCTTACTCTATAACATGTTCATTTTACTATGTAACATATTCATCTAATTATAGATTTGTGTCATAATTTTCCAATAAGATAAATTAAGTGTAAAAAATGATAAATTAAATGTGTTCCAGAAAATCTTAAATGTGGTCTCTATTTGTAGAGAATGAAAAATTATGAATTTTGATATTTTTATTTTTATTTTTTGATACAAAATATGAATGATAATTTAATTTATATAATATGAGATATGAATTTCATTACCAATAGAAATAGGACACATGTCATATTTAAAAAAAAAAACAAAAAAATGCCTTACCTCCTTAACTCACGCGTTTTTGGAGAGAGTGTATCACCTAAGTATTTGCGGTGATCTTATGATAATTTTGTACTCGGAAAGGGAAGAGGATAAATATTTGGTGTGATCTTATTGGGCACAAATTATTTGGGGCATATAATTTTGTAACGCGTGTTTGGTCAAAATATATTGTGTTAATAAACTTAAAAATATTAGGGCCTACTGCCTATCCGGACACGTGATTGGAACGCGAACGGGTACATGATTTTGACTATAGGCAATTCAACAAAAGTTGTTTGAACGTTTTTATTTATTTATTTTTTTTTTTTTTTTGGATTTTGCTACTTTGCTACCCTCCATTACAACATGGTTTACAACTAAGTGTAATGGAGGGTAGCTATGTAGCATCACCCTTGCACATTAATTAAGAATATTTTTTTTTGTCAATAATAACCTTATTTAATGACGATAGAGATGAATGTTTTGAGAAAAGTGAAGAGTGAATATGAAAAGGCGTAATGTATTTATTAGCTAAATGAGGGTAATAATAGAAAAATATGTACAAAAGATCTAAAATGACATTTATTTGGCTAATAGTTGATAAAGCTAGAATGACATTTAAAAAAAATAAAAAATAGGAGGGAGTATATAATTAGAAAACTCCAAAAAGTATAGAGGAGATACCAACTGATACTAAAGAATTAGATAACTGGACTTACCCTTTGAAATTTTAGAGGAATTTAAAAGGGACAACTCCAACCAGGAGGCAACCGCAAAACCCAAACAAAACTCCAAGAATGAGAGGAAAACTCCATAAAAGAGAGAAATCAGACAAGCTCGACGAACAAACGAAAAACAAAACAAAATACACACAACTAATGTACAGATAAACTAAGATCTCCCCTAAACCTAACAGACCCTATGCCCAGCCAAAAAAGATCACTCACGATCCACATCCACTAGCAAAGAGATCCAGCGAAGCCACAAACCGGAACCTCAAGCTCGAAAATTGCAGCTACTCGTGCCGCCTAGAGGAATCTGAAGAAGAGTTTGCTCTCGATTCAGATATGGACTCGACAAACAATCCACGTCATAGGAGGGAGATGGAGTCGCCACAAAACACTAACTCGCCTTGCCATAGTGCTCGAAAGAGGGATTGCACGGACGACAAGCCGCACCCAAGGACCCAACACATGAACAACAAAACTCCAGACAAAACGATGGTTGGTACCTTCTCGAGGCTGGAGCCTGAACTCTGGTGGCCAGCGCTCTCGACCTTGCCAAGGGATGGCTGGACGGCGAAGGAACTCGGTCCTAACGGGAGATGAGAGCTCTCCATCCCGAACGCCCACAAGCCTTGGAGGAGACGGAAAATGGCCACAACCCCAACTCGACGAGCCCCTACTCCAACATTGCGACGACGAGTCTGAAGGTGAAGGAGGGGCGACGAATTGCGGAAGACAACTGCTTTTTTGTGATCGGAATGGAAGGGATGAGGGGTCCCCTCACGCGTTGTTCCAAAAAAGTTGCTTAAACGTTGTTGTATACTTAAATTGACAAGATAATTAATAATTATTATGCAATAGAGCTATAAACCAGTCGAGCCGAGCTTGACCCCTTAACGAACTAGAAATGGAGCTCGAGCTCAGCACATTAAGGTCTCGAGCTTGAGCCTTAACGAACCAACTATTGATTATTATATACAAATTCTCTTTTCGAGTCTTAACAAGCCGAGTTGAGCTCGACTCGTTAACCAAACGAGCTTTAAATGAGCTCGAACTCGGCTCGTCAAGATTTTAAACTCGAGCCGAGCCGAACGAGGCTCGTTTAATTTAACATAACTACTATGCTACCGTAAATCTAAGTTAACATTATTTTTTTCAACACTTTGATACAACCTACAATAAGTTTGTTTGGTCCTTCTAGTCACAATTAGGGCTATAAACGAATCTAGCCGAGTCATAAACGAGCCAAAAGTCGAGCTCGAGCTCAGCTTGTTAAGGCCTCGATCGAGCCTTAACGAGCCGATCTCGAATTTTAACGGGCCAAACTATAAAAAAATTATATAAAAATTCTCTTTTGCCTTAATTGTCGGGCCACACTACCTCTTGGTGATAAGGATTTTATTGGTACACCAAGTCTCTAATG